GACTGAGTCTTGCACTGACGGATCGACGAGTTTGTGGAACTGGAAAATTAACTCTCGTATTTATCTATCAGTGTTAAAAGTAACCTTTCGTCTCGTACATTGTAGAAACGATTTGCAGGAGATAGTTAATCGTTCAGTGGTGTTTGATTGTTAGGGACCAGAGTAGCTATTTTTTACCATTGACTACTGCCTTTCTTGCCCGGGTAGATAGACTCCCATATGAAAAGGTTGGGAATGCAAGTCGAAAAATTTGAATTAAACTCCTAAAGGAGACCACTTTGGGCCAGGCACGAGCTCTATATGGTACCACTTAAAACGGAACAGGTCGATTACCAGCCGTTGTTCAGAAAGGGAGCCCGGGCTAGTAGACTGGACTGGAGAGAGCGGAGGAAATCGAGCCTAAAAGCGAAAATGTATAAGAACTATGGGAGCGTTTTTTTTGTTATTATCTCTTCGAGTACACCCTAAATGATACTTTGACAGCTAAAAATAGTGGCGTTTTGTCATGAACACCCTAAGTGAAACCAGAATCCTTGATTTATACCCCTAAGCGAGATGACGAACATCCCCGACCTTTTTATATGGGAATCTCCTCCCCCCGGCTGATTGGCTAAGATTGTGATGGCCTGGCTATAACCACCTGACCAACTGACTGACTGACTGACTGACTGACTGAGTGTCTGATTGGCAGACTGACTGACTGACTGACTGATTGTCTGCCTGACTATATGACTTATTAAATGAGTGTCTGATCTGCGGACTGACTGATTGTCTGCCTGACTCCTGACTGAGTGTCTGATCGGCGGACTGACTGACTGACTGACTGACCGTCTGCCTGACTATCTGATTTACTGACTGAGTGTCTGATTGGCGGACTGACTGACTGACTGATTGATTGTCTGCCTGACAATCTGCCTTACTGACTGAATGTCTGATCGGTGGACAGACTGACTGACTGATTGTTTGCCTAACTATCTGACTTACGGAGTGAGTGTCTGATCGACGGACTGACGGACTGACTTACTGACTAAGTGTCTGATCTGCAGACTGACTGACTGACTGCCTGATTTCTCGTGCTAACATGCTATACTCTTAGAAATGAACAGCCTTACAATAATTCGATCCTTCAACTTACAGAATTCTGAGCCATAATGGCGTAAAAGCATTACCGGGGAATGCAACTTTCAAAGGACTTCCATCATTACTTGAAATGTGAGTCCTTTAGCTTCTTTAATGATTTTCCTTAATTGAGTTATTTCAAATACAATGGATTTGAATGCCGTACCTGATTTCTTTGAATAGTGCTTTAGCAATTTTTCTTTTTAAAATAATGATTACACCCTTAAAAACTGATATGGTAATGATCTTTTCCAAGCTTTAAATTTGGCAAACGTTTGCAAATTTTTTTGCGAGGGATCTGCGTAATTTATTTTCGAGGCATGCCGTTGAGTAATATACATTGGGGAACGCCGATGGGGTTTTTAGCCTTAATGACCACATTTATTTCAATTTTTTTTCTCAGGGATCTGAGCTATAACCAGCTAGGAAATTTGACAAGTGGCATGTTTCGTGGAATTCCTGCATTAAAGACATTGTAATTAACAATCAGTTTAATTATTTATGGCTTAATTGATTGATTGAT